CAGTTGGGGCGCTCTTGTCCTTGGCACGCACATCCTAAGTTACAGTAATGAGAGCAGACCTCATGTACGGCGGGGGGGCGGTGGGGGAGGGCTGCAGGGCACCCTCATCTTCTTGAGCAGTTTGTTGTCCGGGCTTGGCAGGCGACAGCTGACCCCATGCGAACCCATGCGAACGGCGTTGGGTGCTTTCTGCCGGAAGACAAGTGAATAATGTTCCCTGATGCTGTTTCTGTCGGGGAAGCGAGGAGCCTGATGGGATTCCAGAAGGCTCTGTGTGAAGGGGCCGGCTCGGTTCCAAAAAGCGCCGGGTGGAGCAGGAAATGTGCACATGTGTGCGACGCATTCATTGACTTGTTCCCGTGGCGGATTGTCCCCGTCTGGGGGCGCGTGAGCCCTCTTGTGCTCAGAAGAGCCACCAGGAGGTTGTGGAGACAGATGTATCCTCTCCTTTTCTCTGCTCCCCTGACCCCGGTGGGGCACACGGCCACTTCTCCCCTGAATCCTCCCTGGGTCCACTGTGGATTCTCATACCTGCTGCCTCATTCTTTTTCCTCTGCAAGCAACCTTCTTCCAGGCACCTCTTCCTTGAGTGATGCTGACCCTAGCCACAGGGAGCTGTCTTTGGGAGTGTGGGAGAGGAGAGGGGCCGATGGGGTTTCAGAGGACTTCACCTTGATTTTGACCATGAAAGGAGCTGCTTTGTCCCAGATTCTTGAAATGCTGTGTGTGTGACAGGAATTTTTTAATGTGCTTGTGTGCACACGTGTGTATATGTGGGCGCGTATTTTCTGGTTCAGAAGAACTTCTTAAATTGGTAAGTTGTCTGCTAAGAGAACTCGTTTTGGTCCTCTGTCTAGGTGTTCTTTTTTTTCTTTTTAAAAAGATTTTATTTATCTGAGAGAGAGAGAGAGAGAAGAGAGAGAGAGAGGGAACATGAGTTGGGGGAGGGACAGAGGGAGAGGGAGAGAGATCCTCAAGCCGACTCCATGCCGAGTGTGGAGCCCCACTTGGGGGCTCGATCTCTTGAGGCTGAGATCGTGACCCGAGCCAGAATCAAGAGCTGGAGGCTTCACCGACTGGCCACCCAGGCGCCCCTGTCTAGGTGTCCTTAATTCATTTTGGACCTTCGAGAGGTTTGATGCACAAAGCTTTCTCCTTTTGGCCTTTGGGTGGCAAGTGTCTGTTGTGCCCTGGGGCACAAGGCACATCCTCTTGGTCCCCTGTTGGGACGGACCACGGAGGATGTGCCCCCAGGGTGGCCCCTCCGCCGGCCGGCCAGGGGCTCTCGGCCGCGCGCGCGAACCATCGGGAGGACCGTTGCTGGCCCGAGGCTGGGGAAGCCTGGCTCGGGGCGGACGCGGCTGCCCGCAGGCGGCTGCCCTTGGCCGTCGGCGCATCTCCCGGGTTTCCGGCCCCGACCTTGCGCTGCGCCCAGAGAACACAAGAGCAAGCTAACGGAAACCAGCCCTCTCACCCCAGGCCGGAGCAAGCCAGGCGTGTGCACGCGCACCGCGGCCACGCGCTTTAGTAAAGCAGAATCCGGGCTTCGGGGGACTTGTGGCCATGTCTGTGTTTGCAGAGTGCGGTGGGCTGGCTCGGTTCCGCAGCACTCGGTGCTCCGGGGCAGCCTCGCTGCACCCTCCTCGCTCGGCGGGCCGCGCGCTTTCTAAATCAGAGGCTCGTCCGCGACGGGCAGGAAAGCATCCATCCGGCCCAGAAGCGGGGGCGTCCTTCTCTGACCTTCTCCTGCCGCTCCGTGCGGTCCGCCCACGGCCCGCGCTGGACCACCTGCCTCTGCTGCGGCGTGGCGGACACCAGCACGGTCGGCCGTGGCCACCTACGGCGTCTCTGAGGACAGTGACCGACTCTGAACCTACGGCCTCTGGTTCACACGCGTCCCTGGTGTCCCGCGGGCAGGGGAGCCTCTGACCCCGGCTGGGCCGGCTGCAGCCGCCCCCTCCCGGCTGCCTGGTCTCAGCTTTCAGACAGCGCTTGGGTCGGGCAGCTGGGCCCAGCTTCTACTTTTTTTTTTTTTTTTTTTAGGTTTTATTTATTTATTTGACAGAGAGTGAATGCGAAAGCACGAGCAGGGGGCAGCGGCAGGCAGAGGGAAAAGCAGACTCTCGGCAGAGCAGGGAGCCCGTCGAGGACGCGATCCCAGGACTCTGGGATCA